TTTTGTAGTCGGTACATGCCTTGGTCGTGCGGCAGCTGTAGGAACCCGATTCTGACGAGGCGGCCGTGAAGATGCTGCTGCAACAGCCGCGGAGCTTGCTTGATCCCGTAGAGGGATTTTATCAACTGGCATACTTTTGTGGGGTCGTTGATGAATCCGTGGGGCTGCTTGATGAAGATCTCGGCGTCCACAGGTGCGTACAAGAAGGCGTTTGCGACGTCGATCTGGCGCAGTGGTAGTTTCTTCGTGGCCGCGACGACGAGTAGAATGCGCAAGGGGTTGTGACGGGAGACTGGGGCGAATGTTTCTGTGTAGTCGGTTCCGTATCGTTGATCGAATCCTCGTACGACCCAGCGAGCCTTGAATCGTTCGATGGAGCCGTCCGCATTAGTCTTGATGCGGTACACCCACTTTCCCGAGAGTACGTTCTTCCCGTTGATGTTTGTTGCAGGTACCAGCTTCCATGTATTTCGGTCTTGCAGAGCTTTCAGTTCCTTTTCCATTGCCTCCTTCCATTTCGCCTTATGTTCCCCCCCCAGAGCCTGAGACAGAGTCGTGGGCTCGCGCGGAGACGGCGGTGGCGGGTACTGGACGGAGACCCATAATCCAAGTATCTGCAGGCCCGTGGGTGTGTGTCGAGGGGAATTTTCATTCCCGGAATAGGCTGCTTCGTCACCATCTTCTGGATCAGGTAAGAAATTTGGTCCGATGCGTTCTAAGACATTCGTGTCGACTGGTTGAGGTGTAATGTAACCTTGGTCAGCGAAGTGGTAATAGGTGTCAAGATTGTTACTATCGAGAGGATTGTCGTTGTCGAGTGGAACAGGCACGGAGAAGAAAGGGAGTGGTCCGGCAGCTTCCCAAGCTCCAGGTACGTCTTCTTCTGCTGTGTCAGCCTCGGCAGCACGGTCGACGAAGGACCGAAGGCCCTCGAAGCCATTCGCGGGGTTTTCTGTGTTGTCAATGTTGTCCAGGTAATGCTGCAGCGTCAGTCGCTCGTAGAAGATCACATCACGTGAGGCCACGGTGTTTTTGTCTTGTATGTCGAGAAGTTTCCATGCTTGGAAATGTTTTGCGATCCCGAGGTGTAGTCCCCTTTGTGCTCGCTGAGAGAATCGTCCTGCGCGTGCTGTGTGGGGTCTGTACTATACCATGCAGCCGAAGACACGAAGTAATTTTGTTCTGCCCTGTTTTCCCGTCCACAGCAAGTGCGGTGATGCGTTGTTGGGAAGTGATGACAAGGACAACAAATTGTGCAGGTGAACTGCATGGGTCATCGCGTCAAGCCAAAGGGTATTGGGCAGTCTCATCCCCAGGAGCAGCTTCCGCATCGTCGTCTGCAAGGTCCGGTTCATTCTCTCGGCGACCCCCTGTTGCTGGTGAGCATAGGGTAGAGACACCAGGCGTCTGATTCCTCTCTCCGCCAAGTAGTTCCTGAATCGTTGTGACTGATACTCCAGTGCCCCGTCTGACTGGAAGCTCTTGAGTTGAGTTCCTGATTCTCGTTCAGCGATGGGGAGCCAAGTCGTGAAGGCTTCGAATGCCTGATCGCGTGTCTTGAGGTTGTAGTGCCAGACGTATCTTGTTGCTGCGTCGATGAACGTGATGACATAGTTGAAGTCTGCTTCTCAGTAGTCTCGCGGCATATTTAAGATGTCGATGTAAGCTTTTTCCATCGGTGCGTATGCAGGTGCACTTGGATTGTGATGCGACGGAAAGGGTTGGTGTGGAAGATCGGCTTCAGGACACGTGAAGCATCTCGCGCGAGGTCGTTGAAGCTCTTGTCCGCTCGTTGTGAGGAGAGCGTCCTTTTCTAATACTCCAGCTTGGATTGTTTGTAGAACTGTACTGTTTGCAGGGTGACCGGGGCGTTGGTGCCAGATGTCGTCGGGAGCGCGATGACCGGGGGAGCGCTGATACAAGTTGGTATTGGAGAAGAACGCGACGACTGTTGCGGGACTGCCGCAAACTCCTCGAGCGTTTGGCATGAGTTGGTCTGCTTTGGTTGGTGGTCCTCAGACTGCTGGTGATGGCACGCGACTAGGTCCTGCTGCTGCTACTGCAGGTGATGTTGCTGGTGGGACACTTGCTGGTACGTGTCTTTCTTGTCGTATGACTGCTAATGCTCGGGTCCTTTCTGCTGCACGTATTGTGTTGGAGTACCAGAAACCATCTGGGGTAAAGTCAGGGTCAAGATCCGGCGGGTGCGTCCATGCTGCGAACGACACGATGCCATCGCTGTCGGCAGTACCGCGGTCGGGGACGAAATCCAACACGAAGACGCCCGACTTCAGGAGAGCGCGACCGATGAAAAGGCCGTCCTTCCCGTGGTAAAGGCAAAATTCGTTGGAGTCCGAGTCGCATTCCATGTGAATTCCTTTTGCCGTTAACTTGCTGACGCTTAGTAAGTTGTATCCCAAGTTGTCGACGATTAGAACTTTGTTGAGTTGCAGTATGACGTTTGTCTCCATTGACTGAAGCTGAACGACACCTTGTCTGTTTGTTTTCAGATTCTCGTTGTTGGCGACGGTGATGATGACATTGCGGTTGAGGCGTCGCTCTCGCTGCACGAAGCGCCCGGAAGAACACATGTGTTGGCCGCAGCAGCTATCCAAGAACCAGGTGTTTCGCCCGGTGCGTTCGGCGTTGGCAACTGCAGCATATGTCGGGTTCACCTGAAGACCTTGTGAGCGCGGCGGCGGCAGTTCTTCTTCGTCTGGAGCGTAAGTGGGTGGTGATCCTGGTGCGTAGTTGTCGATGCGTACCATACAGTTGATGATGTTTGGTGTGCCTTGTGCAGATACGGAGGAACGCATCGGTGGACTTTCTTGAGTGGAAGCAACTTGTGGGTTTACTGGACGATAAGCTCTGGGGCGTGTGCAGCTGACTTTGGAGTGTCTAGATGTTTGACAGTTGTGGCAGAACGGCGGCACAATGGTGAGTCCTCTGGTGTCGTGTTGGTCTTGTTTGCCGCGTCAATTGTAGTTGTTGTCGTTTCTTCGTTGGGTATAGAAGACTAACGGTTGCTGCTTGTTTCGTGATTGCCTTTCTTCAAACAGGTCCATCTCTTGTTGTTCAGCATGAAGCTCAGCGCAGAGGTGCATCTCCGAAATTCTTCCGTGGGCGCGAAGAAGCGAGCGGGTGGTTCTCCATTTTGGCCCGAGCCCAGCGAGGACAAGTGTCACGAAGCTTTCTTCAGTGATTGTACCTCCACACCGAAGCAGGCGGTCGCGGAGTGTCTGGCAGCGACTCTTATACTGCATCGCCTTTTCCCCGATCTTCATCTGTATTGTTGTCAGCTGCTGCATGAGTCTGCTTTGTGTCACACTGTCGTTTGCTTGATAGAGCCACTTGAGATGATGCCATGAGAGTTCCGCGGAGTTTCCATAGCTCCGATACGTTCTGATGCTTTGCTGTTCTTGTGGTGACAAGTTCCGCAGGCGAACTGTGTACGCCAGCAGCGACTGATAAGTAAATATTTCTTGCTCCTTTGCAGTGCCATTGCTTGGAAATGGCAGGGACCCGTTGAAGTATCCCAAGAGGTGCGCAGCCTCCATCAGCAGCTCGAACTCAAAGCTCCAGGTAAAGAAGTCGTGTCCGTTGAACGGTGAGGATGTCTGCAGTTTGATCACGTGTGAAAACTGCGCCTGGAGACTCAGTATCTCATTTGGTGTCTGTTGTGATGCAGCTGCTCTTGGTTGGGCACGGGGCGGCATGAACTCGAACGTCCCCGGTGAAGAGTGATAAGGCGCAAAGGTAGGTGCTTGATTGTGTCGCCCGAACGATGAGTTGTCGAGGCTCATCGGCGCTAATCCCATGTTTCCTCCGTTGCTCTGTGTTGAATGCACAGGTGTCCTTGTCTGCTGCTGCTGGTCGAAGTGTGACATGAAGCTGAAGAACCTTTCCATAAGGTTCGGGTCCACGCTTGAAGAGGGTGATGGGGTCACCATTTCTGGTGCTCTTCCTGTTGTTTCTGGAGCGGCGCCGGCCTCGGTCTGCAGTCCTGAAGTGTGCAGTCCAGAGTTGCCGGGTTGAGTGTCTTGGCCACTGGGTGAGCCCGTAGAAATCTTCTTGCCCTTGTTGTCCATGACTTGTAATAAATGAAGTCGTTGGTGTGCTAACTGTAGATAGAGTGTAGTTGCTGGGAGTTTGGTCTCTGACCAGCTCTCATACCATGTTGGGCGGAGAAAAAGCCCTTAGGATATTTCAGAGACTAAGTCCCAGTTGTAAACGATACTTGAGTAGTGCAGCGGAAGTTTGAGAAGTTGAACCCTTGCACTAATATGTGAGAGCAAGTGATTGATTAAAAGGAACAAGTATACAGTAATATATAGAAAATAGGAAAAGTGAAGCAGCTGTAGAATACAGTTGAAGGAACGGTTATCGAGTCGCACAGCGACTCGATGGTCGATTCGGTTACCACCCTTGCAGCTGTAACGGCCAATCGCAACCTCCGGTTGCGACCCTTCGAGTCTTTTGTCCTTTCGTATTCTTTCGTCCAACCTCCTTGTGTAACCTCCGTTGACCCGCATACTCGATACGGCTTCACTCGAGTGTGATGTTACACTTCAGAAACGCTTAAGTCCTTGAGGTATTTCCAACAAGTATAATACAGGTGTAACATACTAGTACAAGTATGATATATTGATACTAGGAAGATCAAGAAGGAATCTATGGCCCTTTGGATGATTTCCTGTGTGTAATCAATTGTGAAGCTTGAACCGGGGATGCACATCATTCTTTGTGTTTCCTTGCAAGGGTAGAAATTGTCGGCCCAAGAAACGGCATGGTCAACGAGACGTTGACTTGATTTCTTCGTCCTGTTGACTCGACGTTCGTCCTGCCGATGTGGCTTCCGCTCCTTGGGTCATTTCTTGACGACTGAGTCATCGCGCGTCGCGAGGTGCTTCATGAGGTGGGAACCCTTCGCGACGCGATGGGGTACAAAATGCGGCAAACCCATTCGGCAATTCATTCCACACACATTCCTTCAGCCTGAAGATAGGAAAACAGGAGACGACCATTCCGATCAGATACACGGAATTGTTCGTAGAACCCTCTGCGGCAGCTAATCTTATTCCCCAAGCGATTTCTGTTGTAACATCCGCTGGTGACAAGCGCAATGACGCAGAGAGTGTCGCTCTCGCCGAGCCAGCATCCTCGCCACAATCTGAGCACCTGCCTTCTCCTCCTCTCCCTCCTCGTCTTCTCGTCTCTCCACGCCACGTTGGCCTTTCGCTCCTCCGCGGGGCTCCGCGTGGACAAGCTGCGCGGAATGATGCGCGGAAAGATGCAAGGCGGACGCTCGACCGGACAGCAGCAGCAGCAGCAGGGCGGAGGAATTGGCGGAGGAGGTATGGACGGCGGCGGAATGGGCCGGGGGGGAATGGGTGGCGGCGGAACGGGTGGCGGCGGAATGGGTGGCGGAGGAATGGGCGGCGGCGGAATGGGCGGCGGCAGAATGGGCGGCGGCGGATTGGGTGGCGGTGGAATGGGCGGCGGTGGAATGGGCGGCGGCGGAATGGGCGGGGGCGGAATGGGAGGCGGCGGAATGGGCAGCAGCGCAACAGGCGGCGGCGGAATGGGCGGAGGTGGAATGGGCGGTGGGGGAATGGGCGGAGGCATGGGTGGTGGAACGGGAGGGCGTGGCTCAGGGTCTTCTGCTCCAGGGTCGCAGGCAGCACCCGGCGGAATCAGCAGCGGCAGAATGGGTGGTGGAGGAATGGGCGGCGGCGGAATGAGCGGCGGCGGAATGGGCGGGGGTGGAATGGGAGGCGGCGGAATGGGCGGAGGCGGAATGGGCGGAGGCGGAATTAGCGGCGGCGGAATGGGCGGCGGCGGAACGAGCGGCGGCGGAACGAGCGGCGGCGGGATGGGCGGCGGCGGAATGGGCGGGGCGGAATGGGTGGCGGCGGAACGGGCGGCGGCGGGATGGGCGGTGGCGGAATGGGCGGGGGCGGAATGGGTGGCGGCGGAACGGGCGGCGGCGGGATGGTCGGCGGCGGAATGGGCGGAGGCGGTATGGGCGGCAGCGGGATGGGCGGCGGCGGGATGCGCGGCGGCGGGATGGGCGGCAGTGGGATGGGCGGCGGCGGAATGGACGGAGGAGGTATGGGCGGCGGCGGGATGGGCGGAGGCGGAATGGGCGGAGGTGGAATGGGCGGTGGGGGAATGGGCGGAGGCGGAATTGGCGGAGGTGGAATGGGCGGTGGGGGAATGGGCGGAGGCATGGGTGGTGGAACGGGAGGGCGTGGCTCAGGGTCTTCTGCTCCAGGGTCGCAGGCAGCACCCGGCGGAATTAGCAGCGGCAGAATGGGTGGTGGAGGAATGGGCGGCGGAGGGATGGGTGTCGTAGGGATGGGCAGTGGAGGATTGGGCGGCGGAGGGATGGGCGGTGGAGGTATGGGCCGTGGAGGGATGGGCGGCGGGGAATGGGCGGAGGGATGGGCGATGGCGGAATGGGCGGCGGAGGTATGGATGGCTCCGGCTCGTTTGCTCCAGGGTCGCTGGCAGCACCCGTACTGGGCGGATCTGGGATAGGCAGCGGGATTGGAGGAGGCATGGGCGGACCTGGTGGGAGCATGGGCGAACCTGGGGGCAGCATGGGCGGACCTGGGGGCAGCATGGGTGGACCTGGGGGCAGCATGGGCGGACCTGGGGGCAGCATGGGCGGACCTGGGGGCAGCATGGGCGGACCTGGGTCATCTGCTCCCGGATCAGAAGGAGCCATGAGTCATGGGGGGAGCATGGGCGGAGGCATGGATGGGGGTATGGGAGGAGGCATGGATGGGGGTATGGGCGGAGGCATGGATGGGGGTATGGGCGGAGGCATGGATGGTGGTATGGGCGGAGGCATGGGGCGTTGAATGGACAAATGGAAGAAAAAATTGCGAAGTGGACTGATGCTCGCGACTTCTTTGGAGATTAGGCAACGGTTGTAGGGGCCTCAGTCGCTTTGCGGGGCTCACAATCACTGCCAGAACTTGGCCGCAGCAGCCCTGACAGTGACAGGCGCACGGAACTGTCTGTCGGTGCTGCTTCGTCCAAGATCTTGACAGTCGGTGCAGTGCAGCCACTTGTGTAGTCACATCGCCTTTCATAAGATCTAGTCTTTGAACAAATGTGATACCTCTCTGTGTTTTGGAAAATGTGCGCTTTTTATCCCCTCTCTTCCCGCTGAAGCAGAAGGATGCTAGCTGTTATGTAACATCATGAGAGAAAAACGATAAGGTACATTATGTTATGTCATTATTTCACAATACAGCTACCTCTGCAATTCAAAGCATTGCACCGTGAGGTAACTAAACTTTGTTGTATCCATTGTCACTTGAGTCGCTAGAGCCACTAGAGTCACAACACAAGACTGCTACCTACAATCCAAAGACCTGATCAAGACCGGTACCCGATGCATTGTGGTACATGGTACCTGGTACCACTATGGCACAATGCCATGACATGGCACAATGTTCCAACTGTGTCATATGACAAAGAGGATGAGGTTAGGGCAGTAGGTCATAGAAGCATCATCTCACCGAGGTCATTTCTTCGTCCCTGGTACGACGCTGTGAACACATCCTTTGCTACCACACCCTGCAGGGACATGGGCGATGAGAGTTGGGAAGGGAGGAGATGGGAGATGAGAGATGGGAGATGGGAGACGGCAGATGATGCCGGGGGACACAGACGGGACGCTGCTAGAGAGCTCTGCTATGTGAGGGTCAACCAAGGAAAGAGGGGGCGGGAAATGGGGGTGAGAGGGGGGAAATGCGGAGCCCCAGCAGACATCTGAAGAGAAATGAAGAAAGCAGAGAGTATGCCATGCATGCATACATTCGTGTGGGCGTGAATGAATGTGAAGATGCATGCCGGAATACGGAAATAAACTGCATGCATCTTCACATTCATACGGAATGCATGCCAACAGTCAGACTCTCAACACACCAGATTGGCAAAGACGTTGTGTTGGCAGGCATGCACAGCATGGTAGCATGGCGGGCTTTGCTAGTCAACATAAGTTACCATGCATGCACTAAGCCTCTGTTCATGTTACCCTAACCTCACTGTCACTCTCTCTATCTGTGCTCTGTCTGGCAACATTAACAGCTCTGCAAGCATGAAAGTCACAACAGACGTGTTATGTGCAGTCTTGTCTGTCTGTTGCTGCCAGACATAGCACATCTTACTATCTCTGCTGACGTCACCCTGACCATCGCTGGGGTGACACCAACTTCAGTGTCGATCTCAGCTGATGTCAGGCTGATAGACATCCCTCCCAGGACGTCCACTATCTCCATCAGCAGCCCCAGCCAGTCCGCTGCCACCACCCTAAACTCGTTGCCGTGCTATCTGGCAAAATTGGAAAAGGTGTGAGGGACAGGCGTGTGGCAACGCCTGTTGCGGGATGAGCGGCTGCAGGATCAGACATTGAGGGACATACAAGACCCTGTCCTGGCATGGCCTATCTAGGAGAGGAGAGCGTCGGCAGTTTCACGGTTGGTACCACGTCCACCATCGCCATCAGCAGCCCTGGCCTATCTGCTGCCTACTTTCACCCTCCGCTCACAACCGGGGTTGTCTGCTAGAGGTGTGACTGACATGCGTGTGGCAACTCCTGGTTGCAATGCGGGGGAGGAGCATGCACGCGTGGAGTGAGGCGAGGGATAGGATGCAGATCCACTGTCTCTGTCAGCACCCCTAGCCATGGGATGTGCAGCGAGGGAAAGAGGGGGAAGGGGGGGAGACACGAGTGAAGAGGAAACGAGTGTTGATCGATACGGTGGCAAAACATCCAGTATTGATCAGCCGGCCACTCGCACCATCAGGTCACTGCCCGTGGGGTCTGGGAGACAATTCGATTATGGGGCGTGCCCTTCGATTGCTGGCTGCAGGGTGGGATGGGGACGGAGAGACGAGAATGGGGGAAGAGGAGCAGGCCTCGCACACCCAGCAGGCATGGGCGTGGTGTGGTGTGACCCCAGGCAGGCTGGCTGGCAATTCTGCCAGCCTGTATCTTTGGTGTGGGGGGGAAGGGGGGGGAGAGGTGAGGATTTACAGCCAAGGTTGGAACTTGGTCGGCTAAGTGACTAAGCGCATCTGCAGCCCACGTGAGCAGAGATTCCAAGGGCGGGGAGCGAAGTACTCGGCAGGCGGGCACAGCCTCACGATGTAGCTGAATCTGTGAGTTGTGGAAAAGAAGGTGCATCGGTAGAATAGCACACCTGTGCACCTTCCCACTGATGACACTGATGCATTTGCCCACACCCGTGCGTACCCTCTCGCCATTCCCCGCCTCCCTCCCGCCATTCCCCGCCACCCTCCCGCCATTCCCCGCCACCCTCCCGCCATTCCCCCCACCCTCCTGCCATTCCCCACCACCCTCCCGCCATTCCCCAACACCCTCCCACCATTTCCGAACCTCCCCTTCTGGCAATGCAAGGAGGCGGGTCACATGTGAGCCCCATCATACATCCACACGACTCCACCGAGCCCCAACATTGGCCCACCCACCATCCACCCCATTCATCATCACCCTCCCCCACCACCCACCACCCACCACCCACTCCGTTCCCCACCACCCACTTCGTTTCCCACCACCCACCACCCAGCCCTTTCCCTACCACCCCCCCCCCCCCCCCCAACATGCCTCTCGCTCACAGTGAGTGGCGGCGACATGCGTGTGAGGCCTATTGCCAGCTGCGCGCCGAATTTATGAGAGTGAGAGAATGAGGGGGAGGGGGGAGGAACGAGGAAGGAGGAAGGCGGAAGGGGGAAGGGGGATGCGGAGGAGGGAAAAGGGGGAAGGGAGTTGGAACTTAGAAAAAGGGGATGAGGGATGGCGCTGCATTGACAAGGTAACCCCTTCTTCCAAGGCGCCTCAAAAAGGCCAACAGGGAGGAAAGGAGCCCGAGGATGGGGAAGCGGATGGGGATGGGGAAACGGATGGGGGATGGGGAAACAGATGGGGGATGGTCCTGCATTGATACAAGAATGCAAGGACGAGAAGGGGGATGTGCGTGCCATCCACCACCAGGTAATCTCGGATGAGCAAAGGGGGACGAGGTAGTGGGGTGGGCCTGGTGGATGGAATGGGAGAGCAGAATAGAGGGATATGTAGAGGGGGAAGCAGAATGAAGGGGTAAGGGAGGGGGGGCAGTTGAATTGAAGGGTAAGGAAAGGGGGGAGCAGAAAAATGGGGTAAGGGAAGGGGGAGAAGAATAGAGGGGCACGGGAAGGGGGAAGCGGTATAGCGGGGTAACGGAGGGAAGGACAGAATAGAAGGGTAAAGGAGGAGGGGACGGAGTAGAGGGATACAGGTCGAGGGAAGCGGGTGGAGAGAGGAGACAAAGGGGAGGCGCGAGAGAGAGATTGAGTGTGCCTTGTTGACATAGGTGTCTGTAACTCCAGCTTCCCCGCGCGATGAGCAGGGCATGTGGCGGAGGAGGAGCACGGCAAGCGGCGGAGCTCAAGCCAGACCCTGCCATGCTAGCCTCCATTCGACTAGCCGGATACATTGTCACTGGGTCAAGTCACAAGCTCGTCTTATCCTGAGCTCTAGCTTCGAACAACCTTTGCATCTCGTCACGTCATCCTGCCGTCCATTTATCAAAACAAGTCGCGGATCGGGATCTTCTCTAGGTTCGTCCGTGTGCTGGGACAGTGCCTAAGGGCGTGTAGCCTAAGGTTTTGAACGAAGTTCGGACGAAGTTCACCGCACTGTACCGCGCGATTGTCTAACCGAATAAACTCACAGTACCCCCACTTCCGTTCGAACCCCTTATTTCGAAACCGTATGTTACACACCCTAAGAGCGTGTCCAACGTGCAGTTGTGTCATCCACTGGCATCCGACGACATAATGAATCCTAGCCGTTGTCATTCGTCCGTACAGGAAACAACGGACGAGACTCGTTCTGTCATACGCCATCATCCGCTGTCAGAACACTTTGGACACGTTCTATGCAGTGCCTGCGGATTCTAGAAGGGATGCCATAAGCAGGAGTTTTGCCACAAACAGATCCTTCACACTCGAAGAAAACAAAGCATGTGGAAGTTTGTACAGTGGTGGAAGCAATTGTCCGTATGTTTTGCATTAATTTGGGTTTTGGCTTTAAGACCACTATACATTAAGCCTTAATGTTTAATGGTGGTACGATTTGGAGGGGCACATAGTGGATGTGCTCACAACACAATCCAAAATAGTACATTAGATCTAACTCATATCCCAAAAGATATACAAAGGGTATATCCGGACATATAGTTCCAAGCAGAGAGAGCAACTTCATAAGTGTGTTTCTAGTTCCTAGCCACCGACCTTTGGCCTTGATCACTGTTCGCACCCTCCTAGGCAAGCTGCTGATGAGGCTAGAGCAAACCCCAGCATGAATCTTCTCCCATTCTTCCTGGACCAGGTCTTAAAGCTCCAGCATTCTAGAGGAAGGCCTTTTATTCTTGGCTAGCTCTCTTTTCAGGTAAGCCCAAAGGTTGAGATTTGATGAGAAAGAAGGCCACTCCAGGGCTATATACTCATGTTCTCCAAGTCATTCCTGCCTAGGCATCCAAATTCTTCGGGTCATTGTCCGCCCAGATGACCTCAAAGGGGAAAATGCTATGAAATGGAGGGTCAATTCGGTTTGTCATGCAAAAGGCCCTCATACAGTCCTTCATCTTGCATATGAACGCCACCCCTGCACATGTCACACATCCCCACACCATCACCAATCCTTGTCTCCATGGATTACCGTCTGTTTGATTTGGTGGTGCTGCGGGTTGTGCCTTCACGAATCCAGGCAAACGCCGCGGCCATTGGAGCAGAAGCAGTTGATATTGGTCCCATTTGACCTGATCACATGCTTTCGAACACAAATTGTCCACTCAGCATGCGACTCCACGAATTACAGCCGACCCTGATATTTTTCCAGAACAGTCTGGCTTCTCGATTGCTGCACCGTGATTAGCAGCGGACCCTAGTGTGTTTTTATGGTGCAAGGGTGCACAGTCAACCGTGCAACGTTATCCTCAGTTTTGCGGTGTCTACGCCAGATTTGGCCGCTCTATTCGTGTTTTACCCTACAATGGTATGACGAAGATGATCCGTGCTTAGATGGGCCCGACCGGCTAATTGCTCTTGGCCACACCTCGCATCGCTAGTCTCAAAATATACCATTCAATCCAAAATCGTCCACAATTACTCTTGCCTACACCCTTTTTTTTTCGCAATTTGCCTAGTGCACCCTCTTTGCAAAATGGTAGGTCCTGGAAGA